TAATGTAACTTTACAAAATAAAATGTTACATAATTGAGCTTTACATAAATGGATTTTTTTTAAAAAAAAAGAAACATAATAAGATGCAGAAGTTCCCACGTAAATATGTAGTTACCTCCTTCCTCTTAATGACTCCGTATAACACAGTATAAATACACAATGGTTTACTTAATTTATTATTGAATATTTTAGTATTTTGTAATTCTTCACTTTTATAAAAAATGCTACAGCGAACACCCTGTTATACACATCTTTGTATATATGTGTGAGTGATATATATATGTCTGTGTGTATATATGTATATATGGCATCTAGAGTCAAAAAATGTTTTAATTTTGATTTTTATAATTACTGAATATTACTCTCAAGAAGGGCTTTACCAAGTTACATTCTTACAATCTATGATGGTGCCAACAATAAATTTAGAAAAGCATTATTATCTTCAATAGTTTTCAATTACCCATTCAACTCTAAAAGATATGGCATATAATTACTCTAATTTTTTAATAGTTTTCTAAACAAGGGATCTCTCCTTACATTTATCTACCTATGAATTTATCTAACTCCCCCATATAAATGCTAATATTATATTGCAAGCAGGATATTAACAGCAGAAACTTTTATCAAAAAAAAAATAGAAAATAATGTAATTTCTTTTCAAACACTTAGAATTCCTTAAGCATCTTTTTAATTAAATACTACTGCATGATTTTTAGCTATAAGTAGAGAATCTTATTTATTTCAAAGGTAATACAGATACTTATTAACAATATTTTTCCAGAAACTGTCCTTACCTGTGTTACTTTTATATGGTCATGGGGTGTAGGTTCACATAATCCAGTTAAATCAGGATTATAACTCCTCCCATCAGGATAAAGATAACTGAATTTAAACAGAAACTTTATTATCTTAAATATATGAGTTTTAATTGCATTTAAGGTTATTTAATACATTTCTTTTATATTCAAAAACACATTTTGATGTTTCCTTTCTATATATCAACATATTCTTTCACTGTTTTCAGAATATTATAAGTTGTTTTTAGGAAATTAAAAATGTTAAAATTATTTTTATACAAGAAATACATAATGAACATGATCTCAGCCACTAAACAATCATTTTTAATGAAGTACTTTTAATATGTGGTCCCATATATTAACTAAAAAATTTACTGGTCAATTATGTTCTATGCCAAAATACTTTGAATATATACTTATCTCAATTATTACTTCTTTCATCTGAAGCACAGGTAATTTTAACTATCATTTTAAACCGAGTTTAATACCACATGGAGAGAAACACAAATTAAAGGCCACAATTTTCCCACAAGTTTTTTCCAATACTTCTACAGTGTTCCTGTTTCTATAGTTTTCTAGTCTCTTTCTTCTGACTCACCTTCCACTCACTCTAACACCTATACATGTGCACACACACACATATGTGCACACATACATGTTTTGAAAAATTAGAAAATGTCACAATTCCGTGTTTTATTCATTTCAATAAAGCTACAAACACAGAATGGTCTAAAGACATAAGGTTCTATTATCAGAGAGAACTAAAATCTGTACTAAAAGTTATAGTAATAATGCCACCTTGCTGTGTTAAATAAGAGTTTTTACTTGTTATTCTGAAATTCATTAGAAATGAAGTTTATTGTGTTGGTAAATACATATTTTTGATTAATAAGTGGTAATTTTATCGCTGGATTTCAATTTATTAAATTATGTTTAATCCTGTTTAATATTTTTCTATACTAGATCACTTAAATGAAAAATTAAGAATGTAATACAACAGCACTGACTACTTTAAAGTGCATAACTAGGGCC